GATCATTGTTGTTATTATTATTATTTCTATTACCAATTTCTATATTGATTTTCCCCTTCTGTCGTTTCACGAGGGGGCGACGTTCCGCTTATAAGCCTTGAGTGTAAATTAGTGGCCTGGACCTGTCTCTTATACACATCTAGATGTGTATAAGAGACAGGTGGAAAGAAGGGATCCGGCAGTCAGAGTGCAGATCTGAGGAACCAGTTTGGGCCTGGCTGCAGGGGGCCAGCAGAGCCTCCTGTGCTGTGGTCCTCCCATTTGAGTAGAATATGACACTGTCATCTCCAACCAATTTCGGCGCTACCCCGTGCACGCACGTGTCATCAGGGCGCCAGCAGTGCCTCCTGTGCTGTGGTGCCCCCCGCACTATTGGAAGTACAGGCACTCTCCATGGTATTTTCAGCTTGGACTTTGCTGGCTGGATTTTGCGAGAAATGCTGTCAGATTATGGCCCAGGAAAATCAGGGTGCGAGTATGGTGGTGTTACTGCCCCTGGCCTGGACTTTTTCTTTTTCTTCTTTTTTTTCCCCCTGGAAAAACCCGCCTCGGCGTACTATTACCTTCTTCCCCTGAACATAACGCATATGCGTTGTATTCGGGTTTTTGAAAAAAAAGTTAAAAAAAAAAGCTTTTTCGAAAGTTGGTACCTTTTGAAAGGCATTCCATGATGCAGACCCCAAATTCGAATCTCAGGGGAGGCCCAGTCGGCCAGTTCAGAAAGGTCACAGTCGGGACTCGGGTACCTTAGGAGTCAAGTCCAACAGGCATCCGGTGAACAATCACATCCCGGAGGCAAAAGTTGCATTCCATAAGCGAAAGTCACGTCTCATCACAAACAGATTTTATATATATATAATATATATATATAGTCACAAATATATATATCGTCAAATAGAACTGCCATTGTGACGATATATATATATATATATATATATGGTTGGCATGCTTAATGCCAGCCGTCGTGGCAGTTGTTGTTTTGAGAATGCTCAGTTAGGTCTTCCATGCGCTCATCCACCCCATCCTTACA